TAATGAAACTTTAAAATGGCCATTTTGCAACTCCTAATATAACAACACTTTCAGGTAAGGACAGTCAAGAAATATTAATGCTATTGAGTGATAAATTTGTTGGGGGGGGGGGGCAGCATATTCATGCAGTGTCAAAGCATCATCCCCATCCCACATGATTACCTTACTATAAAAGATATAGGTGCTTTTATGATGCAAATGTTTCATGGATACTGCCTTTACCAAGTGATCAAATTTAATATCAACATAATGGCAAAAAACTGACATTCCATGCCTCCTCCTATAATACTTTTACAAAGTACATAAATTAGTTGTGTTATTCTTGCCCATGATTTTTAACCAGAATCAAATAATTACAGAAATCAAAATTGCACATCAAGCTACAATATGCCTGGCCTAGACTCTTACAAAGTAATAATGTAATGAAAGAAGAAAAAAGACAGCAGGTTCAGATAAAAGGAAATTAAAGAGACATTATAACTAAATAACTAAATTTGATATTTGATAACTGGATCCAGGACTGGGTAAAAATCAACTATAAAAGACATTATTTGGGACAAGGTAAATTTGAATATGAACTTTATATTAGAATTATTACATCAATATTATATTTCTTATTTGGAAGAGTGGCTCAGTAATAAAGCATATGCTTTGCATGTGCAAGACCCTGGATTTACTCCCCAGCACACAAAAAAGGTGTGTGTGTGTGTATGATTTCTTAGGTATTATAATGGTATTGTGGCTATAAAAGTCCTAGTTCTTAGGATATTACTACTGAAATGTTTAGGAGTAAATGTTCACCATAGCATGATGCATATTACTTTTTTTTTTTTTTTTTTTGTATCAGGACTGAATCCAGTGATGCTTAACCACTGAGGACAACCCCAGCCCTTTTTATATTTTATTTGAGACAGGATCTAAGTTGCTTAGGGCCTTGCTAAGTTACTGAGGCTGGCTGTGAACTTGTGATTCTCCTGCCTCAGCCTCCCTTCACTGGGATTACATGGGTGTGCTCATGTCTTTCAATGATTACTTTCAAATGATTCAGGGAACAAAAGTGTGTTTAAAGATGGAGTGCAAATTTGCCAACATAATTGGTGAATCTAGGTGAAGGTACATGAATGTGCTTTCAAATTTTGCGTAGGTCTGAAATTTTTCAAAATCAAGAGTAAAAAAGAATTTTTACGTAGAGTGATTAAACTGCTATATTGTGATACCGAGACTTATTTCATATTATTTTTTCTAAAACATCACATATTTTTGGACCTCACAAGAACTAGCTAAATTGAGGATGTAAAATAGTACCTATAGACAACCACAAGAAAGGGAAAAGAAAAAACAAACAAACAACAACAGCAGCAAAACAAAACAAAACAAAAAAAACCCTAGTACCTATAGTATATTCCCAGGTTGCTTGCTTTTGAATTTTATAAAAAAATACATAATGTTTGCTATTTGATTCAAGGTTATAAGCCTTTATAAATTTTTTTCTTCAGTGCTAGGGATTGAAGCCAGGGCATGCTAAGTAAGTGCTCTACCACTGAGCAATCACTCTATCTCCAACCCTGGAATTCTTTCTATTGCAGAGTACTTCTACTAAGGATTATAAATAAACTTTTAAACTGTGACCATTTTTTTTTTTACTGAGTCAACATAGATTGTAGGTATTCTGACCATGGAAATATACAGGGAAGCGTTCCTCTGGTGAACAAGCTGGGAGTGGGAGGTGGGGTGGGTAACAAGCACTCTGTTTCCCATGCCCAGCAGTTTCTCCTTGAAGCTAGTTAAGATAACTACACAGGTGCAGTATCTACTTTCTATCCTTGGAGAAAAGGGCTCTGTGTCTTAATTAGCCTGGACTTTGATCTCAGCTATCAAGCACTTAGGATTAAAGAAATACTAAATAATAATGTAGATGGTACTATGGAGCTATATAACATTTGATATAAATAAATGCAGCTGCTTGGAGGGGCAGCCACTCTTTCTTTCCCTTTCCTGTCTCTGCATCTTGTCTCTGTGTCTCCTTCTACTTTCCTTATAATAGAATTAAAATAGACTGATTTTTGATTATAGAGTGGAGCAGTTGAATTTGCAGAGGACTCTTCATATTTTATCATGACTAGTGACATGATATTGCTGGGGTTATTTCATTTCAGCAACATGGAAAAAATACTCTACCTGCCTCGAATTATTGGTATGTGAAGCCCCAATAATATAATGTGAAATTCCTTAAAAAAATACAAAGCAATACAAACAAATAGAGACTATTATTTTGAATAAGAAAAGCTTCTCCTCCCATATGATTGCTGCTTGTAAACTCTCCTTTTCCTCTTTCCTTAAAAATCATCAGACTCTATGGCTCCAGAAGTGATAACAGTAGGCCTGAGCACCCTTCTGAGGCAGCTCACTCACTGGACCAAGATCAGAAACTGGAGGGGATGGAGAGAAGAAAAGCTAAACAGGAGAGCAATGGGAGACACTAGCTCAGAGCCTCCTTGTGAGAAAGGCAGGCTGAGGCAGAATACAATTCCTTTTCACTGTACCTTCTAAAGGGAAAGACTTGAAAATCCTCTTCTCTCTGGCCAATGTGGTACCATATGGCCACTGGCTATAAGGAAGTTTGGAAAATAGAGGATTTTTTGTTTTCTTTTCTTTCTTTTTTTCTTTTCTGGTCATGGTGCTACCACCAGCAAAAAAGAGACATAACAGAAAGGAAGAAAGGGAAAATAGTTAATGACCAAACAATGAAACAAGGGTCACATCCCTTTCTTGGAGAACACCTTATTTCAAGATCATGCCTGCAACCCAATGGTTATTTTCTAATTATAAGAAGAAAAAAGGAGGAGCTGGAGGGTGTAGATCAGTAGTAAAATGCATGCTTAGTATTTATGAGGCCCTAGGTTTGAGCCCAAGCACCACCACAAAAAAGTTTCCTCAGGAATATTCTGTCCTGACACTACCATTTCAATACCATGTTTTACAAATTTTTTCATACAAGATTTCATCCAATCCTTCCTATACACCTAAGATAGGTGCTATCCCCATTTTTTAAAAAAATATTATTTTAGTTATTAATGGATCTTTATTTATTTATATGCAGTGCCAAGAATTAAACCCAGTGCCTCACATATGCTTGGCAAGAGCTCTACCCCTGCATTATGACCCCAGCCCTGCTCTCCCTATTTTAAAAGAATGGCCATGAAGCTAAGTTTTTATGATTAAAACCCATACTTTCATTGAAAAATTAGAAGTAACATTTCAAATATTACAATATGGGGAGTTTCACAAGTTCTCAATACGTAAGGAACTTTTAATACCCATGTGTACTCATTTTCAAGTAATTGTTAAGTATAATTAAATATTGCATTAATCCATTCAAATCTTTATTAAGTGCCTACAACATGTATAATCCTATGCTAAAGATGAAGGGAATACAAAGTGAATTTTTAAAATAGTGCCAACTTGTGTCAGGCATGCTGGTGCATGCCTATAATCCCAGTGGTTTGGGAGGCTGAGGCAGGAAGATTACGAGTTCAAAGCCAGCCTCAGCAAAAGCAAGGCACTAGGCAACTCAGTGAGACTCTGTCTCTAAATAAAATACAAAAAGGGCTGTGGATGTGACTCAGTAATCGAGTGCCCCTGAATTCAGCCCCCATACCAGAAAAAAAAAGTGGTGCCAACTCTTAAGTAGTTTACAATCTAATGACAGTGATAATAGTTTAACAAACTGTAGGAAAGGAATTAAAAGCAAACATTCACAGGGCTGGGTTTGTGACTCAGTGGTAGAGCGCTTGCCTGGCATATGTGAGGCCCTGGTTGGATCCTGAGAAGTGTGTATAAATAAATAAGTTAATTAAATAAAAGCTCATTGACAACTAAATATATACATTAAAATTTATATAAAAAGTAAACATTTGTCCTGGTTGAAAAGGATCACCTTATTTACTAAAGCATAAATTGGGTTGGAAAACATTATTATTATGTGTACCTTTATTAGTTTATCCTTTTTAAGGGATACTGGTTGTTTTTAGAAAAGTAAATATTTTACCTTATAGCAATTTTATGATTGGTTTGAATTTTTAAAACAAAAATTTGCTTAAAGACTAAAAATGATTCATAAAATCAAATTAACATCATGCACAGATACAGGGAGTTTATAATAGTATATGAAGAGTTAAGCACAAATGAGTCTAGTATTAAAAAGTTAAATGTGAATTCTTCTTAAGTTATTATGCATGAGTTCAGTATATATATAACAAGGATTATATCTACGTCTAAGATTATAACTCACAGATTATTTCCATCTGTAATAATACATAGAGTATAAAATGATCAGTGTATAGGCTTTTCTAATATTTTACATATCAAAAATAATTTGGAGCCAGGCATGGTGGTGCACACCTGTAATCTCAGCGGCTTGGGAGGCTGAGGCAGGAAAATCGGGAGTTCAAAGCCTGCCTCAGCAATGGTGAGACCCTGTCTCTAAATAAAATATACAATAGGGCTGGGGATGTGGCTCAGTGGTTGAGTGTCCCTGAGTTCAATCCCCAGTACAAAAAAAAAGGGGAAGGGGGCGGGATTTATGAGTGTAGCTCAGTGGTGTGCTTAGCATGCACGAGATGCCCCTGGGTTCAATCCCTAGCACCAGAAAAAAAAAAAAAAAGACTAGGGATAAAAAGAAAAAGTGATGATGGTATAGATAATTTAACAGTAAATTATCAGTGCAGACATGAATGTAAATTTGCAACTATTTTATCTATATTTTATTGTAGATATTTTACCTATATTTTAAAAATGGTTAAAGAAATTTAAAACACCTAGCAAAACAAGTTTGAGGCTCTATTTTGTTTGAGGATCTAAATGTATTGCAGATAAAAAGAATGGGCAAATAGTATAATTAATCAAAATCTTTATTGATTCATGCTTTCTAGAAAATTTTTTAATTAAATCATCAAGGGCCAATACTTTCCTTTGCTCTCAATACTAAGCCATTTTTCCCACCAAATATAATAATGTATATTTTTATAACTAATCAATTTGTAACAGCTGTGATTCTCAAACCTTTTTTTTCCCCCAAATACTTCTTAAAAATACAAGATCGTAGTTGCAAACAGACCATAAGTAGCAATTTAAAAAATCTAAATAGGCAAAGCCTTACTCTAATTGACCAAATTATCACCACTCAGATGGATTCAGCCTTTTCAGGCTTTGTTCAACAGCCCTGCACTATCAAAGGTGTCCCACAGATGTTCTCAACATCACAAGTGCAGCTGCTGACATTCTGATGCCACAAACAATCACAAGGGCACAGAGGGTAGACCTTGCTGATTCAGTTTTGTTCTTCGACAGAGTTTTCTTCTGCACTTTCTTCATCATTTTTGTTTTCTTCCTTGCAAGAATCCTGGCTGCTGGTATCAATAAAATAATTTTCTTTTTCATTCTGTCTCTCTTCTATTTTTTCTTCTTCATTAAAGCTAGAGGAAGAAATTTATCAATCTTTCAAAGGAAAAATGAGTTGGTTTATAGGAATACAAACCCTTTGCAGTGTAGCCAGTCTTCCTCAAGTGTATGAGTTCCAATATATTATCAAGAGAATTCTAAACCAGGTGAGGTGGTGTATGCCTGTAATCCCAGAGGCTAGGGAGGCTTAGGCAGGAGGAGCACAAGTTCAAAGCCAGCCTCAGCAATTTGGTGATACCCTAAGCAACACAGCGAGACTCTGTCTCAAAATAACAAACAAAAAGGGCTGAGGATGTGGCTCAGTGGTTAAGCACCCCTGGGTTCAATCCCCAGTACCATTAAAAAAAAAAAAAATTCTACGAAAGTGTCAACTTTAAAATTTTATAAATATTCCTTTGAGAACTAATTTATTTAAAAACTTGAGTGACTCTTTTAAAAATTCATTTGAAAGCATGCTATTATTTTCATTATTTATATCAGAAATCTAAGTTATTCTGTTTTAATAACAAAATACTTCATCACCATGTAATATTTTGATTGTATCAAACACTGTAAAATATCAGTATGTTTTACAACAGTTCACATGCATTCCCTTAGGTAAAAGATTTTTAAAACAGAGAAGTGTATGCTTTCCTGTAGTAAGAATTTTTCAAAGGTAAACTGTTCAGACATCTTACATATGTTACCTTTCTTTATCTTCAGTGGAACTTTTCATCTCTTGATTGTCGAACTTTTCAAATACTTTTCCACTTTGGCCTTTCTTTGAAACAAACTCATCAGATATTCCTAGTGCTTTTAGGGTGTTAGAATAATGCTTTTCTGCTGCCATTCTTGCATTTTTCTATAGGAAAAACAAATCTTTTTAGATGAGAACAGACTTTAAATTTCCACTAAAAATGTATGGGTTAGAAGCTCCAGTGAAAATTAAGTTCATCAATAACAGGTGATCGAAATATGTGTTTTATATGACCGGCAATTATACTTCTAGGTATATATCCAAAGAAACTCCTATACCTATGCCCCAAGAGGCATACATGTACAAGAATGTTCAGGATGATACTGTCTGTAATAACCTGAAATTGTAAACAGCCCAATATCTGTTAATGCCTGGATAGATTGATAAGTTATGTCTAATCACAAAGCAATAAAAATGAATGAACTATACCTATCTTCCACAGCATGAATAGATCTCAAAATATAATACTGAGCAAAGGAAAGAAAACCCAAAAGAGAACATTTATTCATTTACCTAAAAGTTCAGAAACAGCAAAAGTAAACTATGTTGTTTGGAGATAGAAATATAGGTGGTAAAACTGTGCAAAAAAACAAGGAAATGTTCATCTTGAAAGTTAGAATGGGGCTGCCTCTAAGGGAGAGCTAGAGGGTTGTGTCTAGACAGAGCACACCAGTGGTTTCTGGAGAGCTGGAATGCTCTATTGGTTAACCTGGGGTGTAGTCACAAGACTGTCGATCTGTAATTATTCTTTACACTGAATTTGTTTCACATACTTTTATAACTGTACATAAAGAAACCTGGAAAAATCAGTAAGAATAAGTTTATGTGATAGTTATTAGAGGGCTCTTCTATTTTATATGCTAACTCTTTATAATCCATACCTAAATACATCAAAGAAAATAAAATCATCAGTACTGTTATCTCTACTCTGTGGAAGAAGCAAGGGATAGCAGTAAAAAGAACATGGATTTAAAACTGGGTTCAAATCTCTGGAATGTCCAAACTTGGAAATCTGTTGGAATTGTGATGTCTCCTAGTTGCTACAAGTTGAAAGTCATCACAGTTCTTGAGGTCACAGGCTTTATGGAGCTGCAAAGTGACAGTGTTCACATTAGTGCCTTAGCTTTGATCTACTTTTAGCTCTTATGAATGGATCTGAACTAGTATAGGGCCCAGAATTGCTCTCTGGACCTCCACCTACAGCAAAGTGACTGGATAGGATAGGATAGGATAGCAGAAAGACTGTAGGTTCAACTTAGCAAGGTCCTATGCAAACTAATGAGACTTTGTCTCAAAAAAAATGAAGGGCTGGGAATGTGGCTCAGAGGTAGAACATTTGCTTAGCATGTGCAAGGCCCTAGGTTTGATCCCCAGTACCACTAAATGAATGAATGAATGGATGAATAAATAAATAAATAAGGGAAATAGGGATGCAGCCCTTGGGTTCAATCCCCAGTAGGGGGGAAAAAAAACCTTAAAAAATATTAACAGGGAAGAAGAAAAGAAAAAGACATGAAGAAAACCAAGACCTCACTCCAGCAGAGGTTAAATGGCTTAAGTTAACAAGGCTAGTGATTTGGCAGAGCTAAATCTCTTGACCTTTTTCTGTGTCTTTTCCACTCTATTACACTGCTTTCTCTTCATGGTAGTGGCTATACTGGTTTTGGCCCAAGCTGGATGTGGTGGTGCACGCCTGTAATCCTGGTGGCTCAGGAGGCTGAGGCAGAAGGATCACAGTTTAAAGCCAGCCTTAGCAACTAAGTGAGGTCCTAACTCAGAAAGATTCTGTTTCTAAATAAAATATAAAAAGGGCTGATGGGAGTAAACCCCCTTGGGTTTGATCCTTGGTACCAATAAATTGATTAATTAATTAAAAAAATAAAGGTGGCTCAAAGCCTGATGCCAGCAAGTCAGTTGTCAGATAGTTGCCTAACTCAAGAGACTTCATGGAGTTCAGTATTCTACAAGTGAAAACAAATAGCAAAGACTAATTACAATGGATATAAGTATCACCAGTGCACTTTCTGATACTCTGGGAAACTAAAAAAGAAGGTTAACCTCAAATGAGGTTAAAATGCATCTGTGAATAACAACAGTTTTTTAAAAAGAAGTGAAAATGCATTTGGAGGCTGTGAATACCAACAAACCTTGGTGAACTAAAAGACAGGGCAAAGTGAGAAATGAGAACAATAAAGAAAGGGAGACAATAAAGAAACCCCAAACCTAACTCTGGACACATTAAGAACAGTATATTCTGATTTAAGCAAACTAAATGTAATGACACTAACCAAAGTCAATGCTAGGAATACTTCATTGGAATTTGGTTTAAAATTCAACTTAATATCTACTCAACTAATAAATCCTATGATTTCCAAGAAACAGGACACATGGTTTGGTCTATAATGAATCATGGGCACATTCTGCTAGGGGATAACTCAACAGCAGGAAGACTATAATTCTCTCTTTTAAATGGGCAGTGCATAAAGCTGCAAGTGAATTTATTAAATAGCTGTTAATTAGCAGCAATAGTCACAGCAAAATAGACTGTAAGAAAGTAATAATTTGTGTTAACTAATTGAAAATAATGTTGATTCAGTATAGAATTAATTATCTTTTAATAATTTACTTCAAGATAAACAATGTTTAATTATTTTTAATTGGAACAAGTATTTCCCCCCAGCATCTCACCATGCAAAAGAACTGTAAAGACAATGAAATAAAAAGTACAGATAATAAAATAACTATTTTATTATCAAAAACTCTGCTAAGGTACATGCCTTTTATCCCTTAACTTGGGAAGCTGAGACAGGAGGATCTTGAATTCAAAGTCAGCCTCAGCAATTTAGTGAGGCCCTAAGCAACTCACTGAGACCCTGTCTCAAAATAAAAAATAAAATGCATTGAGGATGTAGCTCTGTGGTTCAGCTCCTCTGGGTTCAATCCTTGGTACAAACAAAACAAAACAAAGCCAGGCACGGTGGCACATGCCTGTAATCCCAGCAGCTCAGGAGGCTGAGGCAGGAAGATCGAGAGTTCAAAGCTAGCATCAGAAAAAGTGAGGTACTGGCCTGGGATTGTGGCTCAGTGGTAGAGTGCTTGCCTAGCATGCACGAGGCACTGGGTTTAATCCTCAGCACCACATAAATGTAAAATACAAATATTGTGTTCACCTAAAACTTAAGAATAAATATTAAAAAAAAAAAAAAAAGAAAAAGTGAGGTACTAAGCAACTCAGTGATGATGTAGCTCAGTGGCCAAGTGTTCATGAGTTCAATCCCTGGTCCAAAAAACAACAACAACAAAAAAGGGCTGGGGTTGTGGCTCGGCGGTAGAGTCGCCTAGCACATGCGAGGCCTTGGGTTCGATCCTCAGCACCACATAAAAAATAAATAAATAAAATAAAGGTATTATGTTCAACTGCAACTAAAAAAAGTAAACATTAAAAAAAACAAAACAAAACAAAAAAACCCAAAACTCTGCTGAAAAGGATTGCCTTTATTTCTTCCAGGAACCAAAATAATAATAACATGTGATGGTGAAAGTATGTCTATAATCAGTGTCCTAGTTCAAAGAGAAAAATATTTTTCTATCATCATAAGTTTAGTTTGTAGTAATTCTTTCATTTATTTAACAATTTCCAAATACTTATTTTGTAACAAGCACTTATGGGAAGTAAGGAGAGTATGGGGAGAGAAAAAGGTTTTGAGTGAAGGAACAAAATCTGTGAGGGCCAAAAGTGGGAAAAGAAATATTAGCTGCGCAACTAACCTGTGTTTTCAACATTTACAATTTTTTTTTGTTTAATTTTATATAACCATTTATTTTGCCACATTTTCTCTGGTGCATAGAAACAGTGGGAATTCACAACATGACAAAACTGTTTATTAATACTGAGACTCATCACCAATACATCAGAGTAGTGCCCTCAGCCCAGGGTAACCCCAGTGAGAAAAAATGTAAGGTAACAATGTCTGGCCAATTTGATAATAATTGTTCAGTTTGGGTTCAACACATGCTTACAAACATCTCCACTCTGCCAGAAAGTATTTTAGGTGCTAAGTGCTGGGAATACAAAGATTTGGCCAATACCCTTAAAATGAATTAGCTAGAAGGGAAGAGAGACCATCATGCAAATAGATATTTTCCAAACTGTGGCAAGTGCTATGACAGATGGGTGCACAGGCTAGTGAAAGAACACAAAGAAAAGGGCACTCAACCCAACCTGGGGCAATAATGCAAAAAGTGACTGCATGTTAAGACTTGAAGGAGTAGGAGTTAGGTAAAAATAGAGACTCTAAGGATGTTTAGAATACAGTATGAATACAGACTTCAAGTTTGGAAGTAGTAGCATAGTCTGAAATAGCCCCAAAATAAAGGGGGTACATGGAGAAAGAAGACAGGGATGGGAAGAACACAGCAGGAAATAGACTAAGGAGATAAAAAAGGATCACAGAGGATTCTGTATATCATGCTAAGAGTTGTGATTTCGTCTTCTGGGACAAAGCAGGACAGCTTAGAGTTAAGTGTTTAGAAGTAGGTCAACTTGGGTTCCAACCTCAGTTTTACTAACTATAAACTTAATGAGTTTACTTACCTTCTTTCAATGTAAGCTTCTTCATCTATAATATGGGACGACTTACCTTATAGCATAGAATCAGTGAAAATGGATGATTGCCACTGTTATCAAAGGATATTAACAGCCTACCCAGGGTTAACATTTTGGCAGGAAAACGGGAATGACAAGGAGAAGACATAATGAATGGCAAAAAAAAAAAAAAAAGGCAAAGCAGAAAGACCAAAAATAATAATAATAATAATAATAATAATTCCAAGAGATAGGGTTCTCACTATCTTGCCCAGGCTCAAATTCCTGGGCGCAAACCATACTCCTGCTTCAGCCTCCTGAGTAGCCAGGACTACAGGCATGCACCACTGTATCCAGTTCAATCAAGTCATTGTTATAATAATTCAGGTAGTTCACCTGGCATCTAACAGGGCAAATTACTTAGGAAAAAAATTTGACAGATCCCTTAGTGACCCTCAACCAAAAGGAGAAGTAGCTGTCAGTCACCTGAATTATACCCTCAACCAAAGGACAAAAATCAACAGGAAGATCTCATTGCAGAGGAAGATAAAGGTAAGATGTATACAGAAAATCTAAGTAGAGATTTCTGTCAAAGCAGTGAAAATAAAAATTTGCAGTTTAGAGCTGGAGATAAAACCTTTTGAATCAAAAAGTCAATTAACTGCTTTATACTACATAATATAGAACAGCTTAAAACTGATTTTTTTTTAAGAGAGAGGGAGATAGAGAGAGAGAATTTTAATATTTATTTTTTAGTTATCGGCGGACACAACATCTTTGTTTTGTATGTGGTGCTGAGGATCGAACCCAGGCCGCATGCATGCCAGGCAAGCGCGCTACCGCTTGAGCCACATCCCCAGCCCTTAAAACTGATTTTTTAACTGAGACAAAAAAAAAATATAATCCTTAAAACAAAAGGCATTATATAAAATTATATCCAGGATTACATAACTTTGAGAGACTGTACTGTGGAGATTCACCCACAACACATGTCCATTGTCCTGAGTGAGTCACTGACAAGAACCAAGTATAGTCTTGTAACTATGCTCATCTGTCAGTGTGCTAATTATCTACTGTCCAATGTAACAGCTTGGAATTCACAGATCAACACCAGTAACCTCCAGTGATTTTGTCTATTGTTAAGCAATGTGACCCATACAAATGCTTCACTTAGAAGGACATAGAAGATGACCTGAAACTGATAAACCTCTCTGAAAGAACAAATTATAAAACTGAAAATTTAGAAAAATCAGGATCCACTGTCCATTAGACCAGTTTGTTTTTCCTATAAAAAGGAAGCCCTTTTAGTAATTATAGATAAGACTAAATTATACATTTATTTTTTAAAAATTGGCAGAAATAAATCTGATTCAGTTAGCCATTTTGTTTGATTTTTTAATTCTTCAAAGATGTCCAGTTATATCATGAAGCTTCAACTTAATATCTGACCACGTTGGTACTTAAAAAAGACTGGCCATTAAAAACAGGTTGTGAAACTAACAGTTTGAGAACTGGATTAGCAACAGGTTCTTTGTCAAGCTTATGTGCCTCATCAACAAAATTCAAAACTTAGAATTTAAGCAACATTATTTTTGTGGATGATTTGATGAAGCCATCATAAAAACAATAATGTGTCTCAAGAATCATAACATATATGAAAAACTGACTGTAAACTTGGGAGCTAAAGATATTAAAACAAAACAAAGAGGCTGACAATAGTTCTTACATTCCAATAAACACAACCTGAGCAACTCTTTCAAATAGTAGTGGCCTCTTTTTTAATTTTTCTTCTCTTTCTTCTATTTCTTGTCGGTATTCTCTCATTCTTTCCTTTTCACTCTTTCTAAAATCAAATAAAAGGAATGAAATTTTAAAAAGGTCATTTAAAAAAAACTTGCACATATAACATTTAGCTTAGAGGACAAAAGAAGCTATTAGCAGTTTACGTCAATTCCTTTTCTAAACTGATAAATTCTCATGGAATGTAGAATAAAAATCCTAGGTTTTGAGAGTACATATTTAATCACCCTGGGAACAGTCTTGGTGCTTTGATTTCCAAAATCCTCAAAACATAACATACTACTAAGGGGCTTCAAATTGGCCTGAACAGATGAATGAATGTCCTCTTATTTATAAGTGTACAAAACCAAAAAAATATCAAAATAGGTGTCTTCTCTCAAAATAGTTCTTCTGAAAATAAGACTTCATGCTTACTGTATCTCCTAAATGAGATCTCCTAAAGTTTAGTGGCAAAATTAATTAAATGGGAGCAAGTCAGTGGAGAAATGGGGTACATGGGAATATAACATACGAAAGAATAAGAACCAAAACACATACATTTACAGTAAGTATACTTACTCTTTGGACAAGATCCTATATAATGAATTAAACTATATAGTTTTTCTCTATGTAAGATATATTAAAGCAACCAAGATAATGAGATTCCATGGATTAAAGGAAATAATGACCTTTAAAATGATAATTATGCTTAATATATACAAGTTGGTGTTATGAAAAAGCTAGTTTACTCTCTATAGGTAAATAGTATATTTCTAAGTTGTTTTATTTATTTTTTTTGCTTAAGTTCAACAAATTAAACTCCCTGTATCAGAGGATTAATGTTGTATTATAAAGGAATATTCATCACCAAAAACAAATATATGCATTTTTGGCTCCTATAAAAATTAATAAATCATTATTACTTACCCAGATTTGGGAGGGATATTTTCCTACTTAAACATGAACATTTTTATGTACAACATCCAGAACACTGGCTTTCAAACTCTGTACTGCAGAATTCTATTGTTCTGTGAAGGGATTCTATTTTTTATATTGAAACTATCAAAATGAATATATACCACTAATTTAACACACATGTTAAAAATGCATAGCATAAAAGATGTCAATTTTCTACAATGTTTTTAATTTGTGCTATCAGATTTTGTGCATAACTGAGAACAAAACTACTTGACATCTGTTTACTAAGAAAGTATTCTGAGCTGGGGATGTAGCTCAGTGGTAGAAGCACATACTTAGCATGAGCAGGGCCTTGGGTTCAATCTAATATATGGCAAGATATTAAGAAAAGAGTTTTATCTATGAGCATTAAGAATTTCTCAATATTGTATTATGCAATTAAAAATAATATACAGAAGGGTGGGGATATAGCTTAATGGTAGAACTTGTGGTTAGCATGCACAAGACCCTAGGTTTGATCCCTAGTATTTGTGCATACACGCACACACACACAAAATAAATAATAAATATGTGTGTATATATATAATATATGCACATATAATATATGCATATAATAATATATGCATATATTATATATGCATACACTATATATACACATATACATACACACTCAAAAAAAAAAAAGGATAGTTAATAGCTATGATCTTATGCTGACATAAGATCATAGCTATTAACTAAGGCCACAACAGAAAATGTTTTTGTTCATCAACATAGCTTTATGGTTGTTCTTACCATGGAGTTGTGTATATTGGTTCTCACCACAAGGTATGTGTTTCTATGTGTCTAAGTGCACACTCATGTATGCATTTTGAGTATAAGTAACTAGTTATAATTTAAATTCATAACTTAAAATACTATTACCACTCTCAATCTGTATATATATTGATAGCCACTGATTAAGAAAAAAGAAAGTTTGGAAACCAATGTTCTGGAGTTCAGGATTCTTTCATAATACCTGAGATATTTTACTTTGGACTTAAAAACTTGAGCTAAACTTTGATGTGAGTCATAAGCCTTAGCCCGGGTTGTCAGGAGTTTCTGCAATTCTTTGATTCTTTGCTTCTGCTTAGTTAGGATCCGATTTCTCTCTTCTTCCAACATTTTCTTTTCCTCAAGTGATCTCCTGAGGGCAACAAACTAAGGCTTAATTCACTTTAAGCCAAGGAGAAAGCTGTTTAGCAAAAATTTAACAAGGGATATTTCAAAGGCTGAAAAAAAGACAACCTTTTGAGAAGGCTCTGATTTGTGAAACTGGAAATCCAATCAAGGCTGACTATAACCATTTCTATACCCAAAGATTCATAAAATTAAAAATACATTCTTAGAGCAACATCCTTAGTAAAACACCCTAAATTATGTAGTAAAATATCTTACAATAATTTCTTAATATTTGCAAATTCACCAACATAAAATCAACAGAGCTGCATACACTACTTTAGCAAACATGAGTCAGTCAATACCGAGTCCTAGTTATTTACCTTATGGCTTGTTCCCTTCCTCTGGAAGATACTGTGGGCGCTGGAGGGTTGCAGTTACAAGGCATGATCTTTGCACTTGTACTTCTTACTGGTGACTTGTGTCTTAGAGACTGATAAGGCCAATGTGTTTCTTTCAAATTTTCTTCATCTGCTCTAATGTCTGTCAAAAGGGGTTCTCTTTTAGCAGATGCACTTGAGGATGTATGAAGATCAGATGGTTTACTGCCAGTTAAGAGTTTTGAATCCTTGTGTCCTGGGAAGCCTGTTTTATATTTCTCAGGAAGGTCTTCAACATCATGAGTCGGGTACCTGGCTTTGTGTTTATACCTTGACTTTCCAGCCTGTCCAGGACCCTTAGAATGCCTGAAAGTTGGCATAGGGGATGAATTCTGTAAAAGTTCTTGGGATCTCGGCTGTATCTTCATGTTTCTATAATGCTCTTCTTCTTTTAACTTGTCACTGGTATTTGAATCATAAGTAGAATGAGGTATGGGTCTAGCTTTAAATGAATTTGATTTCTTTTTAGATCTAAAAAAGTCTTTCAGCTGCTTTTCCTGGGCTGCTTGCTTCTGTTCTTCTCTTGCAATAAACTTAAATGGCTTTTGTGAGTTCAGAAGAGCTTCTTTGTTTTTCTCCTTCCTAGACCTCCTTCGTTCTTCTTTTTGTTTGACCATATCATGATAAAGGGGGAGAAGGACACACACAGGAACTGGAGTGGCTCGGAATTTCTTCTTACATTCTAAATCTTCTTCTTGTTTTTTGAGCAGCTGATGTACTGTTTCAATATTTGGTTTAGATTTCATGGCCTCTTCTTTTTTCTTCTGTTCTCTAATCATCATCTGAAAAGGAGCAGGTATTGTAATCCTGGGCACCCATTCTTTTGGTTTCTTCTTTGTTTTTTCATTTGCCTGAAAGTCAGTATCTTCATACTGAATATAATCTTTAACACGAAAGTCTGTCCACATGTTGTTGATGAGATCCTTAGCATAGTTCATCATTGTGTATTTTTCTAGATTGGGCACATCCTCTTCAGAGGAAGAAGTATGCAAGGAGGAGGACCGGCCTAAGTCAGGCTCTGAAAGTGCTGTCATTAATGGAACATGTTGATAGGAGTTCTTTTCTGATATAAAGCTAAGTGAGAATAATAATTAGGGTATAGTTTCAATTTGGTATATGACCAAATATTAAAATAGAGGTATATATTTTCTAAGATCAGGGTATAATTAGCTATAAGAGAAAGGCTGGACAGGGCTTGTGAAAATTATCATTTCTATTTAGAACACAACTGAGACATGCCTATAAATTATCTAGTTCACGCTCTCATTTTACAAGAAAATAAAAAAGTCACCTTGTATCTAACTTCTATTAAATTCTCCATATGTTTTTCAAAGTCATCATATTAAAACATACCTCTGATCACATCACTCCCCCATTTGAAACTTTTCAATGATTTCTCATTGCTACAAAGTCTACATCATAAAGCCCTTCAGGACTGGACCCTGTTTACCTTTCCAGTCTGACCTGTTACCACTCCCTACCTCCAGTCACCATTCTTAAACCACATCCAATTGCATGAAGTTCCTCATGTACATCATGATTTCTTATGCCGCCATACCTTTGCACACATGCTTTCTACTGCCTAGAAGGCCATTCCCTACTTCCTGCATCTGCTGAATCTCTTACTTGTCCTTTAAGATTGAACTCAGGTATAACACTTTCTTTTGTGGAAAATTCTTGCTGCATCTCTCCAATACACTGGTATGATCAACTGCTTCTTCCCTCATTAATGTAACACTCTGCTATATCATATTGTAATGCAATTTTGGTTCTTGGTTAGTCTTTGATCTCCTTGAGGTCATCCTGGTTTTGACTTCTCCTTGAGGCATAGTCTGGCACACAGGAAATATGCAATCAGCATTGATCAACTGGGTGAGTTCAGAGACTGGTCTTAAGTTTCAAAACAAGAGAATTCACAGGAGAAATGGGTCTTGAAATTACAGATGAGCTGGGTATGGTGGTGCTTGCCTATAATCCCAGCAACTCAGACACTGAGACAGGAGGGAGGACTGCAGGTTCAAAGCTAGCCTCAGCAACATGGCAAGGCCTTAGTAATTTAGCAAGATTCTGTCTCAAAATAAAAAATAAAAAGGGTTGGGGATGTGCTCAGTGGTTAAGCATCCCTGGATTCAATCCCTGATATTAAAAAAAAAAAAAAAGACGATTTTGAAAACATTAAAGATTCACATCTCCTACTCTTGAACTCTTTGTATTGTATCTTTTTTTTTTTTTTTTTTTAGTATTTTTTTTAGTTGTTGGTGGACATAAAACCTTTATTTCATTTATTTATACGTGGAGTTCAGGATGGAACCCAGGGCCTCACATGTGCTAGGTGAGCACTCTACTGCTGAGCCACAACCCTAGCCGTTTGTATTGAATCTTTTAAGATCTTATGTTAATCTATATGTTACAAAGTTTTTTAAAATTAAATCTTAATGTTCATAATTTAAAATGGGACAGCCTAAATATTTTGAAACATGTCTACAGGTCTGTGGGTGATAAGTCCAAGAGAAAAAAAACAAATGACCACCAGTTGTCTCTCAAAGCAAGAGATCACCTAGAAACTGATAAGTCATTAGAGATTTTGAATAAAACCCCACCCCAGGGATAGGGATGTGGCTCAGTGGTAGAGCACTTTGACTAGTAGAAGCAAGGCCCCGAGTTTGATCACCAGCACCACAAAAAAAATTAAAATTAAAAATAAATAAATAAATAATAAAATTCCTTCTCTACCATCATTGAGAGTACAAAAAGAACACATAATTTTTTTTAAGCTGTAGATAGACACAATACTTTGTTTTTATGTGGTGCTGAGGATCAAACTGAGTGCCTCACATGTACTAGGCAAGCGTTCTACCACTGAACCACACACCAGGCCCAAGACTACAAAAGAATATTTGAGAGTAAATATTCTGAATTAAAAAACAATTTATTCCCCACTTTTAAGCATAAATTTTATTTTATAGTCCACAAATGACATTAGGCACATATTTACCTGGAAGAAATACTAGGAACATCTTCCTTGATGATCGGTGGCTGAACTTCCTTTAAATTTAATTTATCTTGATACATTTTCTCTAATTTTGCCATAGTTTCTATGTGGGCTGCCTTCAGCTCTTCTAGTTTCCTGAAATACTCTTCATTAGAGTAGCAAACATCAGAAAAGTGCACTATGTCTTCATAGTTCATATGTTCATCCAACCCAGAAAAGTTGGTGTTAAAATCAGCCTGGTAGGGAGGGAAAAACCTGTTATATGACATTTGGAATTAAAAGCAAATTAAGTTGATAATGATCCAAATGTTGCTTCCAATTAGATTATAAGTTACTTTTGGATATTTACATTTTCCCTTAATGATTTTTTTCCCCATATTTCCCCTAATCTCACACACACACACACACACATATTTTTTTTAAGTTATTGATGGACCTTTATTTTATTTATTTGTATGTGGTGCTGAGAATTGAACTCAGGGCCTCACACATGCTAGGCAAGGGCTCTACCACCGAGCCACAAACAGCCTCCGGCAATTTAGAAAGGCCCTGAGCAACTGAGACCCTGTCTCAGACTTAAAAAATAAAAAGAGGTAGAATGTGGCTCAGTGGTAAAAGTGCTCCTCGATTAAATCCCCAACACCAAAAACAAACAAACAGAGAAAACAAAACCAAACATGAGAGAAACTGAGACCAAACTACAAGAAAATAAGTTATTTAACCATTTTATAATGGATGGTTCTCTGGTCAACCAACAAAAGGTTTTTGACTCACTGCATTCACAGTATTAGGACAGGACCAAACCATCCTTTACAAAGCGTTTCTATAAGGAGCCTCCTGAGTTGTTTTAACTGAGATGAAAAGGAACACAGCCAAACCACCAGAACTAATGCTGCCCCTTGAGCTGTGCTCCTGCAGTGTAGCTCTATGGTGCGCCAGTGGGGAGAAGGCAGGGGAATGGAGGAGGCAATGGGGGTCAGTGGGGTCAGGGACAAAGTTCTCAGTGGTTTATCAAGGAGCCAGCTGGGACAAGACCTCACAAGAGAGGAAAGAGGACTTAGGAGTGGATGGAGGGCACTCTTAGAACACTGTTCCTGTGGACAGCAACAGCAGGAACTCCTATCGGTGACAGAATCTTTGGGACTGAGAACAGAAGGAGAAATATGTGTTTGTATATATTCTACATACAAGTCAAGCCTCACTCCTTTCACATATTTTTTAGTTCTTTTAATTGAAGCAACTAAAGAGCTAAAATCTCATTTTTCCACAAATAAAAAAATTTTAATATGTTCCCAATCAAGAAAGAGTTGAAATTATTCATGATACTATGAATAAAGGTTGTCAACCGTGCTTTTAAATTTAACCTACTGCCTGGAACACTCAAATGAATAAAATATATTTGCTATAGAAAGTTACAGATTCAATCTGATAAGACTCTGGAAAATAAATCTGTTTAGGCTTTCCTGACAGAAAATTGAAAAAAATTAATGGATGTGGAGATTTTTGTTTTTGTTTTTATTTTTTTGTGAACTAAAAACAAGAGGCCAGTGTTGTACCACTTGGAGGTAACTTAGAAAAAAACAAATAAAAGAAAACAAGTTTTCTTCAGTAGAACTGATATGCAGAAATTTGTTACCAAGAGGTCCACGAATCAAAAAACTACTTAATATATGTCATACAAATCAATTAAGAGAATTCTCTAATATCTTTTGCTGTTTGTATGTGTGCCTTGTTATTCCAGCTGAATTTAGTTTGCAGCTGGAAGAATCAGCAGAATTACCTCAGGGCCTTTGCACTTATTCCCTCTCCTCACGATTTCATCCAGAAATCTGCAGAGCCCACTTGCTCATCCCTTGAGGTCTCCACTCAAATGCCATCTTCTCAACAAGTCTTGACTGACTGCCCTATTTGAAATGACAATTCTTCCCCCACTCACTGTCAGCCCTCCTCTGCTTTATTTTTCCCAGAAGTATTCAACGACTGATATTCTACATAGCCTGCCCCTACCAGAAAACAAGCATTGCGAAGGTAAGAATCTGTCTGCTTTGTTTACTCTGGTGCTCCCAGTGTCTAGAAAAGTATCTGGTTAACAAGTGACCATAAATATTTGTTGAACAAGTGAATGCACAGTAACAAACAAAAAAGAAGTTTCCAACAAAGAAAAAAAATCCTTCAAATGAGTGAATCATGCAAACATTCTGGCAGCTATGGAGAGCTGTCTTCATTCTACGAGTATTAAGGAAAAGACCTAAGTTCCAAAAACTATAATTAAAACAGAGAAATTATTCCAAAGAAACTATTTTTAGGCAAAAAAAAGCATCCATGTGGTACCATTCATCCTTTGAGAATATCTCTTAAAAGAGGATCTTATTTCAATTGTTTACACAAAATGGGTCAAATTTACTTTGACCTGGAAGAATTATTTGAAAAAGAGAAGCCTTTGAAGAGACTGTGGCAGGTCTGATAATTCTACTTAGACTACATGTGACTTTGGCACAGTATGTGTTCCATTTTCAGTTTAATACTGTTAATACTAGCTAGAACTTTTCAGACAGTGATCTCAGTGTTTTACCTAAAACAGATTCTAATTTCATCTTTAATTGTCTCCACCCAGAAACATTTGGTATGTTAAATAACACAGGTCACAGACATTTTTCTTCCTTTCCCTTTAATTGTTCCGCTTTTTGTGGAATGTTGCAAATGCTGCCCCTGGATTAGAGGATAATCTTCCTGAGATTGGCTTGACCCACTTAGATAATGACCTTTTCCAGCACCTGTTCTTTCCTTAGTGTCAGCATGCATAAGGAACTATTTGTATTGCAGTCTATAAAGTTTCACTGGCAATTCTGAAATTTTTATTCAGAAATGTTTTTCATTGGAAAGGATTTGTAAGAAATGAGGCAGACCTACATGTATTAACATGGGTAAATCCCCAATAAATGAAAAAGAAAAAAAGCAAGTTGTAGAACTTTATATCTGTCTGTATTTTATGTCTATATTTGTAATATGTACCATCTGTTAAAATATTATATACAAGACAGAAAAAAGTCCAGAAGAATAGAATACATAAAATTTCAAAACAGTGGTCTTCTCTACACTCTCTCCCTCCTACTCAGGAGAGTTGGTGGGTATCCAGATTTTCTTTTTGTGGGGGAGAAGTGTTATAAGGGACTAAGCCTTATATGTAATATTTGATTTGTTTTTTTTTTTTAAGAGATAGGGTCTCACAATGTTGCCCAGGCTGGCCTTGAACTCCTGGGTTCAAGCAATCCTCCTGCCTTAGTTTCCACAGTGCTAGGACTATGAATGAGTGTGTACCACTGCACCCAACTAACAAGTGATATTTTAAAAGGAGAAAGTATTCATGTATTATTGTCATAACTGAAATGTAACTTAACAACAACAACAAAAAAGACAAGCCAGGCATGGTGGCAAATCCCTATAATTCCAGCAAATCAGGAAGCTGAGGCAGGAGGATCTCAAGTTCGAGGCCAGCCTGGGCAACTTATAAGATCCTGTCTCAAAACAAAAAAGGCTGAGGATGTAGCTCAGTGGTAAAGTGCTCCAGGGGTCAATCCCTAGTACTAAAAAAAAAAAAAAGAATATTCCAAACAACGTCTCATGAACACTTCACCTGCCCAGCATCCCATATCTCTTCTAGAAGATGGCTCCCACTTCCCAGCAATTAAGTTCTGCTTACCTTTCCCTTTCCCCTATCCCTCAACTGCCCTCCTAACCATTTTATTTTAGGAATACAGAAACCATCAAAGGGAAGCTCCCTCATTGTCCCCATCTACAAAGCTTCCTTTTGGGACCCTTTTCTCATTCCTTCATATTTCAAGGATGAAATGCAGCAGGTGACACCTCCCTCATCATTAAAAACAATGACTACGAACCTTGCAGCCTCTTGTCATTCCTCCTACCACTGTGGTGGCTCCTTAATCTCTTGCCTATTTTTTCTGGCTGTTAAATGTTGAGGTTCTTAAGAGCTCTATACTAGGACCCTTCTCTACACTCTCTCCCTAAGTGATCTGTGATCCATTTTCATTGTTTTGGAAATGCTGAAAACTCCCAGATATAAATCTCCAGCCCAGAGCCCATAGGACTTCAGTTTCATAAACCCATCTTCTTCCTATACATTTCCATTTGGTAGTTCCAGAGGCATCCCAAATTTATCATATCAAAAACTGAAACCTTGATTCTACCCAGCCCCTCAAACATATTCCTTCCCCAGTTGTCCCCAATTCAACTAATGGCATTACATTTGATGCAGCTGTTCAAACTGAAAACCTGGGGATGAACATTCTTGATTTCTGTTCCTTGACTTCACATGCAATCCAGCAGTATGTCTTTTCTAGAGAAATCTGTCCACTTCTTGCCATCACCACTGGATTCTAAGTCCAAGCCACTGTCCCTGGCACCCAATAGACTCCTGACCAGTTTCCTTGCTTCTGCTTTGCAGAAATGACTAACTCCTATCACAGAAAACCAAAGTAGAACTTAATCTTCAAAGGAGTTTTTCAAATGACAGTCCCATTGGCAGCTGTGGTATATATATTTGCTCTTCATTAACAGCTGAGAGACAATTATTATAGTTCTTTTACAGATAGGAACACTGAGGGCTAAGGAACAATGTTATAATATCACCTAGCAAGTGGCTACTCCATCATTTTGCCTCTTTTATTATCTACTGTCAATTGTGAATAATTGAAACTGGTTCTAGTAGGACTCTAATCCTGATTCATGCTCATGGTCTCAATCTGCCTCATTCTGGATAACCTTGAGGTGTCTGTCTGTTGGTGAAATATTGGCCATAAAAGATGTTGCCACAGGTTTTCTCATGAATAGTTTTAGTATAAAGATATTAGTATTTCAAGCTGGATGCAATGATGCAGGCTTGCAATCCCAGGGACTAGGAAAGCTGAGGCAGGAGAGTCTCAAGTTTGAGTCTCAAGTTGTTAGCCAGCAACTTAGCCAGAATCTGTCTCAAATTAAAAAATACAAGGGACTGGGTAATGTAGCTCAGTGGTAAAGCACCCCTGAGTTCAATCTCCAGTACCAAAAAAAAAAGAATTAAAATGTCAAAACACCTAGTAATTTCTACTAGCCCTAGACCATAATGTTTTGTATTTGAGCTGCTTTGGACATATGGCATTAAGAAACCTTAACTGGGTATAAGGAAGTTTATATGTGCAGACTGCTGATTTAAAATCAAGGTTTCCATCTTTAAGTGACTATAACAGATGGCCGACTCTATCCTCCATCTGCTGGACAGGTGTCCAGGAGACATCTGACACTGAAAATTGATCTGTGAAAAAGCTGTCTCACTCCACCCTGCAGAACCCCTGACCCCCTGGAGGCACTGGGATCTCAGTTACTTGCTTGTCTGGATACTTATCTATATACATATCTGTGTCTCATCTAGACACTGAATTCTGCATGGGTTTTTTTTTTTTTTTTTTTTTTTTTAAGCACTCACTTCTTATATACTATGTTAAAATCTGCTAAAACCAGGTCTTAAGATGATAAGACACGCTCCTGACAGCAAAGTGATTCACGTGTTTTTATGGATCATCCATTAGAGGATAGTTTTCTTCAAGTTAAAGAAGAAAGGAAATATCCAGTCCTAACAGATGCTGGAAAGTAGGGAGTAAAGTTCTGACTTTGTATTCTCTAGAAATAGTTATAAAAATGCTCCCTAATAAATTTTTACAACAATCTCTTTGGTAAAATTTTAAAAATTTTCAATGCCTTGAATTTTAGCAATTTTCATGGGAGAAAGGAGATGATGGTGGGCCAGGATCATCAGGTAGAGGTCTGCATTGGGCACAGCGTTTCCAGCGCCTCCTTGCTGGGCAGGGACGTGGACCAGCCTTCAAGCCCGCGCCCAGTCCCGGCCCACGTCCCGCCCCGAATTACCGACGCCCGCGTGGCCCGCAACACCTTCTCCTCCTCGCCTTCCTCCAGAGCCGCCGCCGCTGCCGCCAAGGCCTCTAGGGGGTCTTCACGTTCGTACTGGGCGACCCGCGCTCCGGTGCTGGGATTTACCGGCATGTGGAAACTGGAGGCCGCTACCCTCGCGTCTCGGTGGGAGACGGAGGCCATCACCCCGCCTCCGAAGCCTGAGCGCCAGCGCTGGCCCGGGGCGGGTAAGCTGGCTTGGCCTCTAGCAACCCAGCGGCTCCAGGCTTGGGGTGGGCGGTTACTAGGGGCGCGGTTACTAGGAACGCTACAGGAGCCGCTAGGGATCAAGAATCGCGAAAAGGGCTGGGGATGTGGCTCGAGCGGTAACGCGCTCGCCTGGGTTGGATCCTCAGCACCACATAAAAATAAAATAAAGATGTTGTGTCCATCGAAAACTGAAAAATAAATATTAAAAAATTCTCTCTCTCTAAAAAAAAAAAGAAAGAAAAAAAATTTAAAAAAGAATCACGCAAAAATCCTGGCATGCTCCCAGAAGCCCCAAATCCTCCGCTGAGCTTCTCTCCTGAGGTATTAAACTAAACCGCAGTTTACCTGTTCTCCATGAGTTTGTATTAACATCCTTAAAACTGATAAAATTTTTTCATATGAATATCATTCTTTAAAAAAAAAACGCAGTTTAACCTGGCATTCTGAAATTATTACTGCAACTGTACAAACAAGGCAAAGTCGAATTTAATCTTAAAAAGAGTTGTTCAAATGAGTGTCTCACTGGCAGTTTGTAATTATCACTAATTGATTTAACTTACTATCCAGTTTACTAGACAGTGGGAGTCGGTTCTCTCATTCTCTCCCTCTCTCTCTCTCTCTCTCTCTCTCTCTCTCTCTCTCTCTCTCTCTCTTAGTTGCTTCTAAATTGCTTTAGTTGCGGAGGCTGTCCTAGAATTTGTGATCCTCCTGTCTCAGCCTCCTGAGTCGCTGGGATTACATGCTTGTGCCACCGCGTTCAGCACGGTACTGAGTCTTTGCTGGTTTAGAAAGTTGACCGACTGAACCGAACATTCTTTCCCCTCTTTAGTGTCTAACCTCCTAAACGCAGACTTCTCACATTATATAAATGAAACAATTAGTTTTATGAAGAAAAGAGCGCATATTTATTAGCTGAAATAGTATGATAGGAGACGGAAGAGGAGGAAGCAGGCGGTGCTATTGTGTGAAGAAAGCAGCAGGGTTTACAAGCTACTGCCTAACATAGCTCCCCCAGGAGCCAGAGAATGGGGAGGGTAGTGTATTCCCCGCTGATTGATTTGAGAACTAGCAGGAATCGGCCAATTATAAGGAGGTTACTAGTTGTCCCGCCTGCGTTTTTCTCGGCTTGACTAATGAAAGCCCAGAGTTGGTTGGTGCCGGGCGCTCTGACACAGTGCAGGTAGTGTGAATCCGGTTCTTCAGTTTTGAGTTCAGTTTTGAGATTGAGACTGGCTGGATTGGAAGGCACAAGAGCCCAACCTTAACCACAGACATCCCCACCTGCACCTCTCTCCCACCAACTTTCCATTCGGGATTTGGGTTCCTTCATTCTGCAGCACCTGACTGTGATGGAGACCGAGCCCCCAAATAGCGGGCATGGTTAAGTCTTAGCCACCCACCTGTTACCTAAACAGCTGTCGTTCTCTACCATAAAGTTGCCCTATTTCCCTCGTTATGTGGGGAGTCTACACTACAACCCATCTCTGAGTTCAGGGCTCTTTTCAGAAAGTTTCTTGTTTGTCTATTGAGATTGTGAGCCTCTGTAAAATCCTCTACTTCACCAGCTCCTTCAGACTGCTCTTTGTTTTGAAAGCAATTGCTTCTCACTCTGGAACGGATCCTTTTTTGATACTAAGCAGAAGCCAGAGGTGGAAGCTCTGAAGCCAGAGAGGTCGCCAAAGTGACAGGATATGCAGCTAGTTCTGTGGCTGCCTGTATCCCTGTAGGGATTTGATGTAAGCCCAACTCAAAACCAGCCAGACAGGTCCACATACTGAATCACTGCATTAATGGAAGATTAAAATAAAATAGTAAAATAATGGGAATGAGTGTGGAGGACATAGTTTGTGTGATGGAGGAGTAGTTCATTGGCAATTTTTAAAATTTTAAAATCTCATAACATAACCTCAAACTATTTAGAACAGAAATGAGCGGATCTACAAGGATTTTTTAAAAATTGGTGCATTATAATTATATAAAACAGTGGCATTGATTGTGATATATTCATATAGGCACATAGCACTTCCTCTTTACCTTTCCTCCTCCAGTTACTTTTCTTTTTTTTCAGTCCTGAGGATTGAACCTAGGGGCACCTAGCCACTAAGCCACATCCCTAGCCCTTTTTCAATTATAGATGGACACAGTACCTTTATTTTTTATATGGTGCTGAGGATTGATCCCAGCACTTCACACATGCTAGGCAAGTGCTCTACCACTGAGCTACAATCCCAACCCATCCGTATCCCTTTTTATTTTCTATTTTGAGACAGGGTCTGCTGAACTGCTGAAGCTGGCCTTGAACTTTTGATCCTCTTGCCTCAGCCTCCAAGTTGCTGGAATTACAGGCGTGGGCCACAACACCTGGCTAATTATTTTTCATTATAAATGTCTACTTGCATTAAATGATCAGAGAAAGTTGATTGAATCCTCTGACTTTAATAAATGTATATTATCTAATTGTGCTATTCAAATCTTCTATCCCCTTCCATTTGAGACCATGTGCATACAAATGTATCAAAAAGGATTACACATAATTAGTTCATAGCTGCTCATTCACAATAGCTAATGTGGCAGCCACCCAGCTGAGATGGCTTAGAATTCCCTTAAAGATAGGATATACTATGCAGAATGCAGTCAACTGATACAGTGATGTGTTGGAGTCTGCTAGTACTGGCTTAAGAGACTTAACATTGACAACAATATAGATTTTGAATTGAAGACCAATTAGATACTTACTATCATGGTCCAGGCAGAAACGGGTCTAAACTCAAGACAGTAGATGCAGAGATGAATATGGGATGCTGAGTCTTACTGCTGAAAATGTTGGTAGGCCCGCAATATCAGTACCATCTGGGAGTTGTTCAGGCTTTCAGGTTCTACTTCAGACCTACTAAATCAGAATCTGTATTTTATAAGATTCCCAAGGTAATTCGTATGTAATTAAAGAACGATGGATTTATAAGATTTTTGTGACTACTGCAGTGAGTGAAGTGAAAGGAAGAATTTAGGATAAACTTTGCTTTTATCTAAAACAGTCTGAAAGTGCAATTTATCATGGAGTCTGTGAAAAGACTATTGCCTGTGGTTTTTTACCTAGGCAAGAGGATCACCTGAACTGAGAGGACAATCCAGTTAATCTTCACAATTACTCTGTGAGGATATTGTGTTGAGAGAGCATAACTTAGTTTGTTCAAAGAGAAGAGGAAAAAAACACATCAAAATAAACATTCTTTGTTTTATTTATTTATTTTTTTGGTTTTAGGTGGACATAACATCTTATTTGTATGTGGTGCTGAGCATTGAACCCAGTGCCTCGCGCATGCCAGGCGAATGCGCTACTGCTTGAGCCACATTCCCAACCCCAAAATAAACATTCTTATAGATGATGTATATCCCTTTACTATGATTATTATATGCAGTCCTCAAGAAATTATTTTTGTAACATGGAACTTTTTTTTGTATGTGTGCTGGGGATCAAACCCAGGGCCTTGTGCATGCAAGGCAAGCACTCTACCAACTGGGTTATATCCCCAGCCCAATTTCTTATTTTTATTATTTTTTTATTTTTTAGTTGTAGATGAATACAATATTTATTTGGATCAACCCAGTGCCTCACACATGCTAGGCAAGCACTGTGCCGCGCGACCAGCATGCTAGCTTCATACTAGAGGTCCTAAGCATAGAAGTTAACTAGTAAGATCAAAATAAACACACATAAACTCAATTTACCTTTTTCTTGACCAGGTCAGAGACGGCCCTCCCAGGCTCCTGCCTTGAGCCACCTGGTGGGGTAGCGAGGTTTACACAAGAGACAAGCAGGAGAGAGAGAGGGCACGCCAGAGAGTGGCCTTTTATTGGGGAATAAGAAATTCAGGGGAAAATTCCATCCAATGAAGGTCAAGGGGGACAGCATTCCAAGGTCAGGGTCAGTGATTGGTCTCAGGGTCAATGGTCAGTCACACCCCCACAAGGACGGGCTCTCCAGAACGCCTCACACCCAGTCAGGGAGGTGCCCAATCACATGCGAAAACAGCTTCCCACAAAGCACTCTACTACTGAGCTAGAACTCCAGCCCATGGAATACGTTCTCTTGAGCTGCTTACTGTCTCACTGGTTACCAGGGATTCTGCACCTCCATTTGCTGCCATGTAATTTCCATTGTTAACTGTTTTCCCCTAAAATTGAAAATACTTAAAAAAAATTTTAACCTAAGATTTCATCAGGACATAATTACTGTACCTGTTAGCATTTTGATAATTATTACTCCGGAAGTATTATGTAACAATGTTTATCGTGCACTTATCAGTATGAACACTGCCATGCATACATACATCTTTGTGCCCTGATGCTATTATTTCCTCAGGACAAATATGAGCAAAAAGTATGCATAGTTTTTTCTTTTCTTTCTTTCCTCTTTGGTGCGGAATTCAAACTGAGCCTCATACATGCTAGTCAAGTGCTTTACCACTGAGCTACATCCTCAGCTGTATGTATGATTTTTTTTTTTTGAGAGAGAATTTTAATATTTATTTTTTTTAGTTTTTGGCGGACACAACATCTTTGTTCGTATGTAGTGCTGAGGATCGAACCCGGGCTGCACGCATGCCAGGCGAGCACGCTACCGCTTGAGCCACATCCCCAGCCCGGATGTATGATTTTTTTTAAAGGCTTTTATTATTGCCAAACTTGCTTTGGAAAGTTTATACCAGTTTACACACCAACCAGATTTCACCGCAACACAGGTGCTATCAATTTTATTATCTTAAGCAATCTCATGTACTTTTATCTTTTTCATTAGCAGTGATATTGAACTTTTTCATGTAACAGTCTATATTTCTTTGGCAAATGGCTTATTGATGTCCTTTACCTATTTTTCTATGGTAATCTTTTCTCACCAACTTGAAACATTCCTTTATATAACAGGAACATTAATACCTTGACTATCATTAGTAAAAATCACCTCTCCTCTTAGC